TCCAATCTAGCATGCCATTCCTTCTTTTTACACAAAACTCACGCCACTTAATTTATACTCGTACATATTAAGGTAATAGATGATACAGAGTTAGTAAGATATGTAAGTATTGATCTTGGGGTAGGATGGCCTGAAAGGATTTAAGCATTATAGGATTTTTGGTGGTCTTTGTATTACTATATTAATGTTATCAGTATTATTGTAGTAGTATTGAACCCCAATTCACTTCATTATTTCTTCATAATGGCCTGAAGGCAGTATGTTCATTATTAGCTTCACTTTGGATTGGGGACTCTTCATTATAGTGTTTTTTGTACTGATTTCTATGCTGAGATATGCTGATTTATATGCTGCAATATATGAGCATGCTAGTTTATATGCTGAAAGGCTATTATACTTCGTATATGTTGACTCATTTGTTGAAAGTGTTTTGAATTATTTATATGCTGATTTATATAAGGGGTTATGAAGAGATGCTTCAAGGTCCAGTGGTGATCTTTGTTTAGCTCTTTCCATAATGTATGAATATCATTCACATACAGTGGCCATTGAAAGAGAAGATGAAAACCACCTGATTACTCTAAATTACTAGCACCACGACCTCAAGCATAAATTGATAACATCAATCATCATATAGACCAAATCTTATTACTCCAAATTGTGCAACTTAACTAAGCATGGAGTTCCAAATGCTAACCAAAAAGCACCTAGGGCTAGGGATACTAGTCTAAATGTTTGTGGAGCATTAGGAGGTCCTGGTCTTGGAGATTCACTCTTTCTTGGGCTCAATTCGAATGGAGTTGGATTTCCAGATCTTGAAAAAGTAAGCAACATTTGAATCAAAACTCAACATGATTTAACAGGATTTAACGGATAATCTAGAGGGTTGACACGACAGAGACCAAATCACACTAAATGATACACTACAACTGACTTTGATGGAATAGCAATACTTTTCACATAATACTTGAAATGAAAATTAATATATTTGATCTGACAATTTGTGAAAAATATAGGGTATTTCATACACTATTTTAAAGAATATCATAACAATCTCGCATAAAATAGCTATTTATAAAAAATAACATCATTTTAAAATTGGGCAAAAGCTATCGCGCCTTGCGCGAAGGATCGCTAGTATGTATATAAATGACCACAACAAACAACTTCAGCTACCGCATGCACACGAATATACATCAGGCACACAACCACTAAAATCTAATGCACAAGAACCATTATCTACCACGTAATACGTATAAGTAAAATTAAAAAAAGTATCTTAAGCACAAGAGCCAATATCATACGCACAAATGCACATGAAAAAGTATTGTGCAAATAATTCGTATATAACACATTAGAATCAATGTAATACACATGAAACATGTGCAAATATATTATAATGTGATGCACAAGAATGAATATATAATGCAAATGAAATGAATATGTATGAATTGAAAGATAACAACAATTATAATGTATCAAAAGATTCCAAAATAACTGATTATATTCAATACAATAACATCAAAAAGTCAATTGCCAACCAAAACTAAATACGTAGGTGAACTAAGCTTGAATAATGATGACCGGTCAAATACTTACCAAATTAAATAACCTACGAATGATTACTAATATAATTCCATTTAATGCTTCCACTAATAAAGCACTCAACGCATTAATCGAAAAATCAGTTACACAAACCGTCACAATATATACCCTTTATACCCTTTAGTTGATCGTATGTTAGCATATATTTTGGATGGCCAGGATGTGTTCTCACGTACTCACGTTAAGCCTCGTTCTCATTTGAACCAATATATATATATATATATATATATATATATATATATATATATATATATATATAGGGGTAAGATCACATACTAACCATTCCTCCCATGCTAACCTACAAACTATCAAAAACGGTGCATCTTTACATTATTTGTACTGCATATTGAAGTTCAAAGTGTTGCATATTATTTGTACTGCATATTAAAGTTCAAAGTTTTGCATATTGTTTTTATTGCATATTGAAATTCACAGTATGCATCTTTACATTATTTGTACTGCATATTGAAGTTTAATGTGTTGCATATTATTGAGTTAGTAAGTTAGTATTTTAAGCATGGTTAGTATGTGATCTCTTATATATATATATATATATATATATATATATATATATATATATATATATATATATATATAGGACTCCTCAGGTCCCTCCGGAGGGACGGGAGGGACCGTCCGAACTTTACTGTTTGGGCGGTTCCCGGTGGAATTTTTTGATGAAATTTTTTGAGCTTGTTGTACATCAAGTCTAGTTTGTCCATACCAAATTTCAGCTCAAAATTCGACCGGGAAGGCAGTCAAATAAATTCTTGAAACTTACTGCACTTTATATATGCGCAGAATGTGCAGTAAGCTTCAAGAATTTATTTGACTGACTTCCCGGTCGAATTTTGAGCTGAAATTTGGTATGGACAAACTAGACTTGATGAGGAACATGCTCAAAAACTTTCATCAAAAAATTCCACCGGGAACCGCCCCAAACAGTAAAGTTCAGACGGTCCCTCCCGTCCCTCCGGAGGGACCTGATCTTTTCTGTATATATATATATATATACACACACACACACACATATATAGGAAAATATTCAAGTAAGGTAGGCCTAAGAATTGGAATTCTTAGGCCTCTTTCATTTGAGGTACTTCTGAGATGAATTTTTTGATGAAATTTTGTGAGCATGTTCTCCATGAAGTGTTGATTATGCCCACCAAATTTCGGAAAAAAATTCAATCGGGAAGTCGGTTTAATAATTTTTTCAAAATTGCGCAGGTTTTTACATATATAAAATACAATTTTTTTCCAACAATTTATTTAAATGACTTCCCGATTGAATTTTATTGTGAAACTTGGTGGACATCATCTTCAATCCATGGAGAATATGCTCACAAAATTTCATCAAAAAATTCGACTCGGAAGCACCTCAGATGAAAGAGGCCTAAGAATTACAATTCTTAGGCCTACATTATATATATATATATTCTGTCAAGGCCAACATCCTTGAACCGGGATAAAATTCGAATATGTGACCTCCTTTTTTGAAGTGTCACAGTGATGTCATCAGATCATAAGGTACTTGACTGTTTTTTTTTTTAAATGTATTTTCCACCGGAAAAGTCATTGATATGAATTTATGAACATATTGCATGTTTACTAGTTATAGATCAAAATGTACAAGTGTGTAAAGTTACATGATCGACCAATAATGAGAGCACAATCAAAGGTTAAGATATTAATAATCGGTTTTGCATGGTAACACTAGATTGATTGAATCTGAGAAAATTGATGAAAATTCTGGCTGAAGCGCCGGAATTGGTTGATGTAAAATATGAAGAATATGGCTTACTAATGGGTAATCGCGAGAGATCGATACATTTATAATAGACAAAATTTTACAAATTACAACTTGAGGATTGAACTCATAACGTCTAAGTTAGATGGTAGGTTTGCTGCCATCTCATAATTTTTGAATTATGGGAAAGTTATACTTCTTCCGTCTCATTCTAATGTTCTACTTTTACCCTTTTGAACGTCTCATATAAAAGTTCTCATTTTCTATTTTAGCAAACAATTAACACTCTTCAATGACAATTTAATCATCAAATTATTAATAATAATGCATTTATATAACATCATAGTTATCATGAATAACATCAAAACTATACTTAAAATATAAGTGAATAACATTATTTAACTTTTGTCAAAATAACTGTGTCAGTTACAATGGGAACCTTTAAGCTACACAGAGATAGTATTTAAGATATAATCCAATATTCATTGATGATTTTGCACTATACGCATATTCTATTTTGACTACATTTTATTTATTAATGTATTACTACCTCCGTCCAAATTAATTTGCAAATTTGACTTTTCTTGATCAAATAGTTTTATTCTATTCGTTTAATAATTAGGATGTCATTATTTAATTATATTCTAATTTGAAGTTTACAACTTTGAAGAGATTTTAATGTAGTTTCTGAATATATAAATTTTAATAATTAAAATTGAATTATATATCAATAGCGAGCATTAATCTTTATTATTAATTACCCAAAACATGTTGATTTTGCAAAATAATTCGGGACGGAGGGAATATAAATTAAACTCTGGAAAACTATTGTTAAATTCCTCTAATTTATATCTTCAAAATACGAACTTTTAGTGTTTTTATTAGTAAAAATGAAAGATATTAATGATCAAATTTTTGTTATGTGTTGACAAACCTGAAAAGTTGATCGTTACAATTAAAAAAGAGTAAAGGGTCAATTTGGTCCTCGAAGTTACAAAAAAGGGGTCAAATAAGTCCTTATATAGAAGATTCTGTCCGGACATGCCATTTGAGGTGGCTCCCGGTAGAATTGTTTGCTAAAATTTTTTGAGCTTCTTATTCATTAAGTCTAGTTTACTCATACCAAATTTCAGCTAAAAATTCAATCACGAAGGCATTCAAATGAATTTTTGAATATAACTGCGCTTTTAACATCACTGTTATCTTCAAGAATTCATTTAAATGTCTTCCCGATTTAATTTTTATCTGAAATTTGGTATGAGTGAACTAGACTTAATGAATAAGGTGTTCAAAAAATTTCATCAAAAAATTCCACCGGGAACCTCTCTAAATGGCGACAGCCGGATAGAATCGCCTATATAAGGACTTATTTGACTCCTTTTATGCAACTTCGAAGACCAAACTGACCCTTTGCTCAATTAAAAAAGAATATATTTTTAATCAGGCCATTATGAGACAGAAAAAGCTAAACCGATAACATCTTTCGGGTCGGACCGGGTTTTTATTCGTTTTTTCCCACCCTAAATATTTACCATGCACCAAGATCAAAGGGTCAAGCGGGCCAGCGGTCATGCTCTCCTTATTCTATTTCACACGCTCTCAACTCCCAAAATTCATGCAAAAGCATCCGTTCCGGCCTCCTCTCCTCTTTTACAAACAAATAAAACTCTTTCATTTCATTTCATCCATTTCATTCCGACCATTTCTTGTTTCTCCGATCAACATCCGCCCCCGTAATCCGCCGTCCGTTTCCATAGAATAAAGATGGCTGACCTAATAATTCCCACGGCGAACCGCCGCCCACAAAGGCGTCGACCCTCCTTGTCGTCCGCCGCGCATTACGTTCTCCGAGAGCAGCGCGTCCTCTGCCTCCTCTTCGGGGTGGGCTTGTCGGCGATGGCATTCACGTACGGCCCATATTCTTCTCCGGCGGCCGGAGGGGCCGAGTCTCCGGTCATTCCTCGGAGGGTTATGTACGAGGCGCTTCATCAGACCGGCTACCACGTCAAAGCAGGCAGGCGTCAACTTTCTCTGTCTTTGATACTTGATTTCATCTTAATTAGCCATTAATGTGTGCTTTAATTACGCATTAATTAATGAATATTCCCAAAGTGTATATGCACGTGCTTTCTCAATGCATGCATTTATGAACAAAAAACGGTCAAACAAATCGATTTGAAAAGTAGACCAACCATGACCACGCACATCAATATAACATTAGAAATTGCTCTGAGTAATAAAAACGTTTGGAAAATTTTAAAATAGAATCTTCATGTTTTTTATTGTCTAAATAAGAGTAATTGTCAAACTTAGGAAAAATTACTTTTATGTAGGAAATAAAAATATGATAGTGCTTTTTTAAAATTTCTAACACTTTTTTACACCTATTTAGGGAATTTTCCCCAAATAATATGGGTGTACATTTTAAGTGGGAAATGGAGTAACTTATGATTTACATCATCTAGTTTACTTATTTAATTTTAAAAGTACCACATTTTGTAAACATTTAGGTATATCCTTTAGGATATTTTAGGTGGAGAGATTGATAATACAGAGTATATTTTACATATTCTTTAGCATAATAGCATCTCAATGTCATAAAATTCATGACACAAATATAGCACTAAGACAGATAAATACATAAAAATGAATCAATATAATGACATTTCTCTCTCTTTCTTTTCATAGTTTTATAAGGAGTATGTTTTTAATACTAGCAATTTATCTTAACGGTCAAACCCAATATCTACATTTAGACATTCTTCTTGACATTGTAGATAAAAACTTAGGAAAAAATGTATTAAACCTTTCCACGCACTAATATTTATGTGTTTATCTTTCTCATGTCACGTGTGCATTATGCACATTGTGGCACTGGAAATGCTATAAAAAAAAAGAAAGTTACGAATATCCAATGAGCATCAGTATATTTCTATAATTTGAGATGGATAGGAAAATGAACAATTAATATGAAACCGCGCGTTTTAAATTTAAAGTGTCATTTTCATTCAAATATTAGTGACATGGACATGACAAAAATAGATAGGTAATTAACTGGATGTAAATAGTGTGAGTATTAATTTGTCAGGTGGAAGAGTTCCACAAGGGTTGACGAGGAAGGGATTGAGGATACTGGTCACCGGGGGAGCCGGGTTCGTGGGGAGCCATTTGGTAGACCGCTTAATCGCCCGGGGCGATAATGTAATTGTGGTTGATAACTTTTTTACTGGTCAGAAGGAGAATCTTTTACAGCACTTTGGAAACCCGAAATTTGAACTCATCCGGCACGATGTGGTGGAGCCTATCATGTTGGAAGTGGACCAAATTTACCATTTGGCATGCCCCGCCTCACCGGTCTATTACAAGTATAACCCTGTCAAGACCATCATATCCTTCTTTACACCTCTTATTATTATTTTCTTAGTTAATGACAAATAAATACTCCGATCCCTCCGTCCCCGAAACAACTTCCCGGTTTGACTTACACACATATTAAGAAAATAAACTTACCAGAGGTAAATTTTACTGTTTCGACACTGTTTGGGACTGTTTGACACTGTTTTGATGTAGATAACTTGTCATTTAAGGAAATGAGAAGTTAAATTAGGGACAGCTAAATAAGGAAATTGGGAAATTGTTTGATGGACGGAGGTAGTATGTGTTGATTGCCTTCGTCACACTAAATAAACAAATAAATATGTAAGTACATGCACAAAAATAACACATACACATGGTCAAATACGTTGAAGTTAAGGACAAAGAAACATGCATGACTTTTGTGTGTATATTCATGTGTTATCGAATTGTTAAAAAATATCAAAATTAATTTTATAACTTATAGATGTAAGATGTTTTAAATTAGACTGTAATTTCGTGATGTGATCAGGTATATACAAGTTCGGTTTGGTCTGAAATGGTCTGATTTGGTAGCTTTTTGTGTTAGTGTATCTTACAATTGTCATAATCTGGTTTGATCTTTTAAGTATAATCTGGTTTGATTTTGTTTAGGGTAAGACTGAATCTAGTTTAATTAAATCATCCTTACACATGAATGTAAATAAAGTTGTACAAAAATGATGCAGACATATACGGAGTACTTAATTAGGTTGTTGAACATGCATATGACTATATCAAAATGTTTTCCTCGAAATTAGCCACTTATGTTCTAAGGAAAACGTATTTTCCTTCAAGATGCTAATTAACCAGGCTGACTAACGAAACATTCTTGTTATACTTTTCACTGTTAAGTGTTGACCAACATATTCTCTTACCATACAACATCAGGGGTTTCCTACAATTACTCCGTATTTTATTATCGATTGCAAGTAAAATAACCTTCAAAGATATACTTCGTATCATTATGTTTATTACTTTCCATGTTCACTGTCCGTATATGGAAGTCTATTATTTGCTCTATTTTTCATTTGAGCTAGGCAAGATTTCTTAAAATTTTAGTTTTAAAAACGCAAATTTTATTTCTTCACATATTTTTCCTTCTTTTCCTACTTAAATGGAGTAAGTCATATCAAACGCGATAAGACTTAAACACACCAGTCACACTAGTTCCGATTAGATTAGAAAACATTTAAGTTCAAGTGTAATTATTCATAATCATGCATGCTATACTTACACAACATGGCATGTTATTAATGGGGTGTTTTTAGATTTGGTAATTCATTGATTGATTGATAGTTAAGGCATACTAGCTACATATAATTAAGTGGTTTATATGTTGAGCACTTGAGATTTGTGCATATATTGGGTTTTTCTTTAACCAAATGTTCACAAGACAAATGTGATGGGAACACTAAACATGCTGGGTCTGGCAAAGAGGGTGGGAGCTAGATTTCTACTTACCAGCACCAGTGAAGTGTATGGTGATCCTTTGCAGCATCCACAATCTGAGACTTACTGGGGAAATGTTAACCCCATTGGTAATCTATCTAACTGCATGTAATTAACTCCTCATTACATTGAACATTGGATGATACCATTACATTATGCGTGCATGTTAGCATTCCTTAATTAAATTAAGGTATAATACTATACCTTAAATCAAGTTAAGGTTGAAATCTATATACATATGTTCAGGTGTTCGGAGTTGTTATGATGAGGGAAAACGTACCGCCGAAACATTGACAATGGACTACCATAGAGGACACAACATCGAGGTTAATTACGTTTTCAATAATTAAGAACTAAAGATATTTTCATTTGATCAGATTTGTTTAAATCATATACAAGATCAATTTAAACTTAAGCATATCAAATTACACCAAACATAAACAATAACAACATACTTATACTTTGTATATCATACATTCATCACACCGAACAAGACTTAAATGAACCAACTTAAAAAGATCAGATCAATCCAAATTAGAAAAGAGAAATGCTAGATGTACCCCCATTTTGTATATTCATTCACACACATTGTTTGTCTACGCAGACAAAGTTGTCTATATACAAAATGAGATACACCTAACATTTCTGATTAGAAAATTTTGATGCACGTGGAAATATCACAAGTCATTCATACATATAAATAATACGAAGAATTTCTATGGATATACAAGTGAGTAATGTTTTTTTTTGTAATTGCAGGTTAGAATTGCTAGGATTTTTAATACGTATGGACCACGTATGTGCCTTGATGATGGTCGCGTTGTTAGCAATTTCGTTGCTCAGGTCTAACCTCTAAATTCCAACTTATAGATTCATTCCATTCTAGTTAAATAGCTTGGCACTTCGTTACAATTGATATACACACATATCAACATATTATTGATATTTTTATTATGAAAGTTTTAAAATAAAACTAATACACGAGCTATGTGCGCAAGTGCACAATAATGAGTATCCTTGTTTTGTTTTATTAATAGGAATCATTTTTGGGAAAATTAGTCATTTTGTGCATTAATTATCTCTCGAAGCTAAGCTTGACGAGCTAATTAGGGTCCATCTTTAACCTAAATAAATAATTGGGAGTTTACCGGTCGTGTGCAAACGACGTCCTATGTTATCATGGGAGTTTCCGGATCTCATGATGAATATTGCGTCGGAAATTGCATGAATCGAGTACTGCTTAGTGAGTCATTTTGCTTTATTCCATCATATTCACGAATAAAAAAATAGTGAATCTTTAGTCCCATTGCAAACGATGGAAACGACCTATGTTATGTATACAATATTTTAAGCCTAGCTCTAATACGTAGTACTTTACTAACACCCACATAAATGAATTAATATTTTTATCATTTTCATTAGGATATTGTTTTATTCAATCTAATAAAAAAACTCATTGTACACATTTATCTTACTACAATGAATTATTCAATCCAAAATCAACGTCAATTCACCAAACGGTTTGTAATGATATGGCTAAATTTTGAATGATTACTGTTATTTGTACAGGCATTAAGGAAGGAACCGTTGACTGTGTATGGAGATGGGAAGCAGACAAGGAGTTTTCAGTACGTGTCTGATTTGGTATGTTCTTTTATAGTTAGGTATCCATTCACCCATTAACTTAAATTTTAATTCTAAAATGATCTTCATTTTGCTACGAATGGATATTACAACTCTAAATATTACGATCCAAAATTTACATCTAGATATTTTTGTAATTTTTGCACGATTACTAGTTTTGATGCACATTTTTTAGTGTCTATACAATGTTGCTGTTTGTCTAACTACTCATTGTATAATTTTACAATGAGGCAGAAAATAGTAATTTTACCTTAATAGACAAGTATATACATAAAACGTAACTGATCGAACAGATAGAGGGATTAAGGATTATAGATTTAATTACTGAATAGGTTGAAGGGCTGATCAGATTGATGGAAGGTGATCATGTTGGTCCATTCAATCTTGGGAACCCCGGAGAATTTACCATGCTCGAATTGGCAAAGGTATACTCCTATTTAATTTGTTACTCGATATACTTCGTATATGCTATTTTTAGGGGTGTTTGGATCTTATTCTGAAAACTGTTTCTACTCCTTCAAGGAGCAAAAACAGAAGTTGAAGTATTTTAAGTGAAAGTGCAGAAGTGATTCTGAAGCTCCAATTTACTCCTAGAATTAATTTTTCAGAAGCTGGGGAGACAAGCTTCTGAAAACTGATTCTGATTCTGCTTCTGCTTTAAAAAGGAAGCAAAAGCAGAATCAGTTCCAAACACCCCCTAATCATTCTTTTGGGACTTGTGATATGCTCTTGAGCACCTATATATATAGCACGGAAACTCTCGAGAAAGAGTATGTTTCCGTTTTAAAAATTCTACGGAAACTTTTTGGCAAAAGAGCAAGCTCTTTTGAACAAAAGCTGACGTTTTATGTTTCTTGTGTCCTCATGATTTTCGTATTTCCATGCAACATAGTTGAGCACTCCAGTTTTTGGCCATGCTTATTGCTGACTAAAAAGTCTTAAATGATTTTGTTTGTATTGTTTATAGAACTTAGAAGTCTTTCTTAATGTGATTTGATCCGAGTATAATCTTGTCTCACATGAGACGCAAGCAAGTCCCAAAGTTCGTATTTTCAACTATATATGTGAGATGATTCAACTTTGGGACATTTTTATTTGGACTCGTTTCAAAACATATCAGATAAAACTTAAATCAAACGAATTAGATCAAACTTAAACAGATTCATGTCAGACTTTAAAAAAAGTAAAACACACATAACATTAATTCATTGAGAAAATGGAAACTAATAATCCAACTTTTTAGCATGCTTCCTATAATAGTTTCACCTAATCGTTATTCAAAAATAATCCAACATTTGCATTCCATCTTCATTCGTTGGTCCCTGACCGGTTGATGATCATTATCTTTGTGAAAGGTGAGATTTATGGTATAATGGTTTGCAAAGATAAGAAAATAACTTGGAATAACAGGTCATCAACCGGTCAGGGACCAAAGATGAGGTGCAAAGGTTGGATTATTCATGAATAACGAAAAAGTCGGACTATTGTAATAAAACCGCTAAAAGGATGGATTTATTAGTTTACATTTTCCCTAATTAATTCATTTGATTTCGTGAACCAAAGCATTGGGTTTATTTACGAATTACTCCGTAATATAGTTAAATCTTCCTTTCCAGCAAAATATTTAAAGCTAAAATAGTTAAATTAATTATTGTCCCGTCTTTATTGATTCTAAAATTTTAGATAATTCATTCTAAATTATGCCTATTCAACCTTTGCAACTAAACTGAGAATTTCTCAAAGCAAAACGGGGCAGCCCGTAAATAGGATTTTATGTTTTATTTCATTAAGGGCAAAATATCACTACGTACCATTTTAAAATTATACAATCATATTATAATATTATTATCATGCATTAAATATTGCAATGTGATCTTAGTATAACCAGAGAAAGAGGAACATGTTCATTCCAAAAAGCTTCGTCATATATATTGACTTTTCTAATTCAATGATAGTCAAATTTCACGGATGATATTTTTGAATACGATTATTTAAAAAATGAAATTGACATGGAAAATTTAATGTGCAGGTTGTACAGGACACAATTGATCCAAATGCTAAGATAGAATTCAGAGCAAACACAGAAGATGATCCTCACAAGAGGAAGCCAGACATCACAAGAGCCAAACAGCTCCTTGGTTGGGAACCCACCGTTTCTCTCCGGGACGGACTTCCTCTCATGGTTTCCGACTTCCGCAAGCGAATCCTCGGAGCCGGAGAGAGTGCCGCCGCTGACGGCAAGTCTTTCTCAGGCGTTGACTCTCAGTGATGTGGGTAAACTACTGAAGTGTACCTCTAAATAGAACTATTGACTTAGGGATGGTTGACTAGCTAGTTAACAATAATAATAAGACAGATTGGGAAAAAATCATCAAATAGAAATTATAGAATGAAGTTTTTCTTCTTCTAACGATTATATATATTTTGTAGTCATTAGGAGATTCTTGATCATGATATTTGAGGTGTAACGTAACGACGTGTACAACAATGTTGCATTTCTAGGAATAATGATAATCATCCACCAACTCAGGAAAATTTGGATCAATAGGTTTATTGTATTTCTATTTTATTAATGGGGTTTCTGATGTGTATCTATGGATCACAAGAAAATTATTAACTAATTTATGATATCTTGCATCCCATAGTTCATATGTATTACTCCGTATTTAATTAATGTTGTATATCTTTCGTAGTTTTTTATTGTGTTAAAATATACTAGAACGTAGTACTTATAGAGCCCGTTTGGAGAACTCTGTTTTCGGCTTATCAGGCTTATCAGCCAGCTTTTTCACCAAACACGTAACTTTTACTTTCGCGCGCTGAATTGTGTAATAAGCCGAAAAAGTAAGGTTGGAGTTACTTTTCTGGCTGTATTGGCTGAAGTTACTGTAGAGGACCATTTTAGCTATTTTTACATATAATTTTTTCTTTAATTTATTAATAAAATATATTTTTAAAATATTTTTTTCTTAAATCAGCAGAATCAGCCAAAACAGCCACTCCAGCCAGAATATCATAAATTTCAGCAGAATCAGCCAAAACAGCCGATTTTGGTGCTACCAAACGGGCTCATAATTTGTAAATGATTGTTTTTTGTGATCAGATGCTTCCTCCAAACGTGAATCTGGGACACATTATATGATTATTATATTCTGTTGCCAATGGACACCTTAAATTAAAGGAATTTGTGTTTTTATTTTTAGAAAGCATTTGATTACAAATATCTTTTTTTCTTGTATTTGTTATTATGACAATATATGTATTAGATAGATGAAGTTAGATGTATTAGGTAGATGATCTGAAGTTATAGAACATATATCATAATAGGTTACAAAGTTTTGTCAAAAAAAATATAGATGAAGTTAGATGTATGAAAGTTATAATTAAGGTTCATTTTTAATAAAAAAAAACTATAAACTTTTAAAATGGTGGTGAAAATTTATTCAATTTAGTTATCTTCAACACAAGTTTATTAGTAGGGATAGAATTGAGTGTCTATTGAAGTCTCACACCGTTAAATATTATTACATCCATCCCTTTTTATTTAGTCAACTTTGACTTTTTCAATCAAAGATGATAAACTATGATCCATTATTTTAACTATAATATTTATGTAAAAGTTAATAAATTTATACATTTATGATAATATTTTTAACATAGAACATTTTCATATAATTTTCATATTATCAATATTACCGTGTATAAATATATAATCGGTCAAAAATGAATAATTTGACTTGAAAATAGTGTTTTTAATGAGATTATTTCTCGTATGAGGTTGAACGGAACTCTGAGCCTTAACAAGTGTCGACGTCAAACATGCGATTTTACTTCTAAATTTGTGGCTAGACTTTTGGCTTACCAATTCTAGAGTTCGTAAGATATAAATGAAAATGTTTGGTGTTTTATCGTGTGAAAACCTCAATGTTCCTCAACACTATAAATATGATGTTGGGCGCAAGGTTGTTCAATAATCAATTGGACACAGTTGACATAAACTTAACGCTTTACGGTCTATTTAGAAGTTATTACCTCCACCCCTCTAGATGACATGATTATTAAGAAATGTTGATTTGTGTGATTGATATTAATTGACAAAGTAAGAATAAAATAAGAATGATTTAGAGCCACAAATTTTACTTAATATGTTACGGAGTATGAAACAATTTTAGTAAGATTTCTCGAAATGAGAAAACGGGATAATATAAGGGGAGGGACGGAGTATATATAAGGGATGCAAACATATTTGCAATTCTACATATTTGCAATTCTGCATGCTAATTCGTTTCTCCCAAGGCCTAAATCTAACCCTACGGCTATACAGACTACAGTGGTCCCAAAACTTTACTTATCTGACCAAAATCTTGTTCATTTCCAAATCGTTTTGGTGACCTGTGTAAAAGTTGGTTGTCCTTTTGAGTTTAGTTGCATTAGTTTTCATATAAGTTGCCCAACTTTACAGTTAATGAAGACAGCCTTTCCCTACATCCATATCCATGCCAATCGGGGCCCTCTTTCCCATCATTTGTCTCTTTCTCTTGTAATCGTTCATACAAATACCCTGTGGAAATAGAGGCTAGTTCAAGTGTTTAGCCGAAGGTCCTTCTTCAATGAAAATATCACTAAATAAATAAAAATACAAAGTAGATCTTGCCCCCATGATTCTCCTTACGTTCAGGGTTGAGAAGGGAGAGGGTAATAATAGATGAAGCGGGTTCGTGTGGTAGGTGGAGTAGCTTGAAAATGGCATATGATGTAAGTCCTGTTGTATTCGTCCTTTCGAATCAAACCATCAAAACTGGATGTGATCATATTCAGGTTTACCTATCTAGGGGATTTGGATGATAGTTCATAGATTTAGCATTATGAGATCGTAAGCTTCGACACTTGAATTATAAAGATGTGTGTGTATGACTTGTCTTACTTGACTTATTATTACCATCGGTTCAGACTTTTAAGAGAACTAAAATAAAATATGAATTACTGTTTTGTTCTAAAAATAAATGAATCACAATTTGAGTACTTTTTTATAATTTTTCGTAAGAATCGAGATAAAATCACCAGTTGCGTTGTTCATTCTCCGGGAACTCTTTTTGAATTCTTCCGTTAGATTCTTTATGAATTACTTTATGTTTACGATCAATCTTCTTCGAAATCATATAAATGTATTTTTTGCATCTTGGGCGAGTATTTTACATTTAAAAAGCAATTAATTCTTGGGTGATTTAACTGATGACAGCTTGCTCTTATGAATTGGACCTATCAGTCTAGGGTTTGGTTCAAGATTCTATGTTCCAGGTTCAATCCCAATCTTAAGGGCCCCTCACACCTCGACCCGACATGGCATTTGGGAGGATATAAGTCATGGTTACTCAGTCAGTCCAATGATGATAAATCTTGTACCCGTGCGCACCAGAGGTCCAACCCATCATGCAAGAATTGTAACCTCCACAAGGGTCGCTACGAGTTTCGATCATTGGTCAATGTTCCAGTTTTTCCACTCTATCAACTGAGCTACCCGTGCTTCAGTGTTCTATTGTGATAGACTTCGTCGGAGCATTGAAAGATGTTCCCCCTAATAACAAAAAAGAAAATGAATTTGCATAGAAAAGGGAGTGATGCATGTATAATTGCTATTAAATGTATAAAATATGAACCGTTTGAACATTGAACCATACTGATACTAGTTAAATGTAGTATGAGATTAACTTAATGGAACTCACAAAGGTAGGTAAGACATTAATATAGGGGCGGAATACTTAATACTCCACTTGTCCACTTATTTAGCTTATTAATTTTTTTTATATTCAATTTTGCGACTCTAGAAAACTTTTACGGTAGTTTCTGAATGTGTAAATTTTAATTATAAAAAATGATTTAAGTATCCACAAGAATGATTGACGTTATCTTAAAATTCGTAAATTACAATTAAACTTGGGACGGAAGAAGTAAGAGACTAAAACATAATGAGTTTTGTTAAATGGACCTTCAGATCATTTTAAAACACTTTTATTAAAATACTTTTTTACAAAAAAAAAATTAAATATATGATTTGTAAATAAAGTTCAAGAAATAATTTCTTTTAATTTATATTTGGGAAAACTGTCAAATAGGTCCTCGAACTTTCATTAAAAAGTCAATTAAGTCCTTCTATAGGAGACTTTGTCCGGTCGTCGCGATTTGGGGTGGTTCCCGGTGGAATTTTTTGATGAAATTTTTTGAGCATCTTATTCATCAAGTCTAGTTTACTCATACGAAATTTAAGCTAAAAATTTAATCGGGAGCGCATTCAAATTAATTAAAGAACGCAAAAATGCGCAGTTATCTTCAAGAATTAATTTGAATGTGTTCCCGATTGAATTTTTAGCTGAAATTTAGTATGAGTAAACTAGACTTGGTGAATAAGATGCTTAAAAAAATTCATCAAAAAAATCCACCGGGAACTGCCCCAAATCGCGACGGCCGGAAAAAACCTGCTATAGAAGGACTTAATTGACCTTTTTAAGAAAGTTCGAGGACCTATTTGACAGTTTTCCCTTTATATTTTACTCCGTATATTTTTATTTTGCATTTACCGAAAAATATAAATATTTCATATTTATATTTTAAACTTGTATTTTTATTCTATTTTTATTTTCTGCATTAATTAAGTTTTACTGCAAAGAAGCTACGTGGCACGGAAACTCTCGGGAAAGAATACGACTCTTGTTTCAGAAACTCTTGGAAACTCTTTGCAAACTCTCTAAATAAACGTTTTTTGAGTAAATGTTGAGATTTCTCGTTTCCCATTTCCTCATGAGTTTCGCGTTTCCGTGCAACGTAGCAAAGAAGCAATGAAACAGCTAGAAAGCAAGTCATCCAACTGTCCAAGCTTCTGAACCTACAACACCCTTAGCTTGACTTTAAAGCTTGGGTAGTCAGCCATATAAGCATGGGTAGTTACTAATTGATCAAGCACAGTGTAATTAAGAGAATAAATTATTGCGGAATTAGAGAAATAAAATGGCTAAGGGAGGGGAGGGGAGGACCATCCTAGGCCTGTAGGCCATACCCATTTTGGCGGAGGAGAGGGAGGGCCATTCAAAGCCCTGGCCCAGTTGAAATGGGCTACAACTCATCATCATACGGAGTATAATTTTAAAATAAAGGTGACTAGGTCCAGGGTATTCCATATTTGAGCTTGATACTATAAGGCCATTTGGAGTGGTGAAGTATTAGGAGTGCAAAATGTTAAAGATGGAACTTTTGGACTCCTAATTTCATGTAGTGGTAGGCTAAATAGGGTTTTAAAAATGGAAGAGGGGATGGAGGGTGTTAGAAATAGAAGGTGGGTTGGTAGGAGTGGAAAAAAGAAAAAGGAAAGAAATAGGGAAGGGAATGACCAAGAATGCATTGTATGGATGTGAGAATGATGTCATCCCTGCATCATTCTAATCCCAAATTTTTTAAAACTCTTATAACTTTTTTATTTGTTCTCCAAATTTTTCAAAAGATATACTCCCTCCGTCCCTTATAACTTTGCCAACTTTCCTTTTTTGGATGTCCCATTAACTTTGCCACTTTCCCATTTAAGTAAAGAATTTGTGGTTCTAGTTAATTCTCTCTCCTCTACACAAACCTCAACCACACAGTTTTTACTTTATTAATCCCCGTGCCGGTCAAACTTGGCAAAGTTATTAGGGACGGAGGGAGTATCAAAATTTACGAATTTTTATTATCTTTCATTTGACACCAACATGTAATATATAAAATGAAAAAAAAAATCTTATGTTTTAACTATTGGAATTTTCTTGAGCCTGAAAAAACACAAGACACAAATTTTTAAAACTTTACTAAATTCATTTTTTGTTAACCGAAAAACGTAAAAAAAAATTAAGGAAATTTATTTATTTTTACATCGAAATATGTATTTTTTATTTCATAATTATTTAGTGAAAAAAGTAAATTGAAAATATTACTTATGATGATTTAACTAATGTTTTATTAAATTGATATGTGAAAAAATATGCTGAATGTATTTTATTGACGGTGCTGGGATGCAAGGAATAGGAGTCTCTATACACTGTTTTCATATGGACGGAGTCCATTTTTAACTTTTTAGCCTCCCAACCACTACAAATGGTCTAACATGGCTGGTAATCAAGACCTCTGTATCCCTGCCAGTTTCAAGTTTTATAGAGTAGTTTTAAAAGGAGAATATTGCCTGAAATGTGAGTAAAAAAGTTTAAAATTTTCAAAATAGGACTGTCATGTTTTTTCCCAAAATAGAACTAATTATTGTCATGTTTTCGCAGTACCATACTTCAAACATGGCAGTATTTTCCAATTCTGACAGTAATTACTCCTATTTTGCGAATAAAACATGACAGTCAAATTTTGAAATTTTCAAACTTTTTTAGTCTTATTTCAGGAACTTTCCCTTTTAAATGTTATCTAACACTAGTTTTATATTTCCTCCGTATTTAAAAGATCATTACATTAGCTCCTGGCACAATATATAAAGCAAAAATAATATGGGTAATGAATAATGAATAAAGTTAATTGAGTATTTTAAATCAAAAATTTACCAGAAAACATTTAGTAAACCTTTAAATACATCCATCAAGGCCTAAGTTTTTAAAAAAATAACAAATCCTATATTTTCAAAATTTAAATTTTAATTTAAGCAATACATAAAGTTAAACGGGATCCGGATCCTCTGCTGTAAGGCAGGGGTGCCTTGCGCGTCCAACGGCAGGGGAGCGGCCAAGACGGCCTCGAGATAGGCGAAAAAATGAAGCTCAAGATCTTCGACCGTTGAATTGTCGATCAGACGACCGGGAAGAAGCAATGCATTGTACCTTACTTTAGAGTAAGGTAGAGGCTCCGGATCCAGTTAAACTGTTAAACGAGGCCTGACTTACCCCACAATGTTGTTTAGGAACAAGAGAAATCAAGGTGAGTTGCCATTGACTAAGACCGCGTTTGCTAATACCCAAATGGACCGCATTGACTGATTTTGCTGAAATTTATAAAATTTTGGCTGAATAGACTGGATTGAGTGATTCTACTGATTTATGAAAAAAAAATTAAAATATATTCTATTAATTAAATAAAGAAAAAAAGTAAAAAATAGTTAAAATGATCTTCTATAGTATCTTATGTCTATACAAACAGAAAAATAACTTCAAACTTATTTTTACAAGAAATCAAATGTCAGGTATTTGGTGAAAAAGTTGACGGGGAACCAAAAAACATTGTTACCACTTACCAGACTCTTAACTAAACGACCCATAGATAGTTTAATAAAAAAAATATTGACATGAATGATCAATAAATAACTAAAACAAATATACTCCGCAATAATGTAATTACGGTAACTCTTACATTTTAGTGGTTATAATAGTAAATTACTTTTAGAGACAAAATTACATTCAATTTTACACCTCAATGGTCATGATTATATAATCATAGAACCCTTAGTCATGTTTAAGGAAAACCCTTTTTAATTTATTTGATGACAGATCTGAGATGAAGAAAATGTGGAGCTAGGAGTTGACAAAAGAACCAGATTTGGGCTACAGAGGATGAATGCTAGTCAAGCAAGAAGGATTTCAGATCACAGTTTTGCTTATTTGCTCCCTTGATCTGCTTTTGACTTTCTCCTCCTAAATCTACCCAGCATGTGTGCATTTGACATCTCACTCTAATTTGAGACCATTTGCATCTTTATCTAACTTTATGGCTCCATGTATTAAAATATAATGATTAGTTATGTCTATAGCATATACATCTACCCTTGCACATGAGTGCTCTTTCTTTATGATCCATTTTTTTATTTTGGCCAGCTAAAAGAGCAGCATATAGGGACTCCTAGATAGAGACATGAAGAAGGGGAAGGGATCCACAGCTTTAGTACACACACGTGCATAAGATTAAGAGACATATCAACTCAATAATGCATCCACGAAACTTCTTAGGTTCATACAATAAAGAAGAAACGAGGAAGATACCCATCCACAAATATTTCAAAGCTAAACTAACAATATCATGGTGACAAGAAAATGAAGACAATTATTCTCATCCATAATGTCTGTTTTTGAGCAAATCACATGGCCGGTTTAGAAAACCATGCCTACCCATCTGAGAATCGTGTAGTTATGATGGGAAACTAACATGAATTCCATGAATTAAATCCAACAACGGCTATCAAGACTAACATGCATCAACTTAGAGATAATGAACACATTTTAAAGATGACAATTAACTTAATGTATCTATAGCAGCATCAGTATTATTATTACTATTATTATTAGTAGCTGATTTACTCCGTGGAGAATTTCATGCCTTTCTCCTAGCTTCTGACAGTCAACAAAGAAGGAATGGAATCCAGGTTGGGAGATGGATTTTTGTTAGAAGCATCTGTTTTCCCAGAGGATGTCTTACTGAAAGCTCTCATTGGACTAGCAAGTGCCCATCCCCAAGTCTTGATCCTGCCATGAGCTAGCTGATGATGATGAACTGCAGATGAAGATGGTGTTGGTTTCCCATTCCCATTCCCATTCTCTTCCGAAGAAACCCAATCTGATGATGAAGATGAAGAAGCAGATATCATCATGAACCCACTAAAGATTCCTCCACATTTCACTCTTTCCCTGATGCAGTCTTGCCCTGAAGAAGCCACGCTGTTCCTGTGATGGACAGATTGGATTTTGGGCTTTCCTTCTCTCTGAGATTCAACCCTTCTTAGTGTGCAATCCCCAAAACCAGTTGAGATTCTCTCAAAGAAGTCCCCTGAAAAGCTTCTGCTTCCACACCCAACAGATCTGGACCTGGACACTTTTCTATCATGTTGGGCGGGGGCAGTCTGATCGGAACTCTCCTCATTCTCCTCCACCACTACGAAGCTGTCTCGTTTCTTCTCTCTAACCCCCACTGAACCACTCACAGATGCAGATGGGGAGGAAAAGCTTGCATCTTTGACACTAGTCTTCTCAAATTTCTTGGATGTTGATGATGGGTAGTAGAGAAATGACCAGAAACCCCTTTTCCTGGGGCTGTTATCTTCACCGTTCTTGTCAGTTTCCAAAAAACCTAACCTGTTTCTTGGAGTGGCAGTGGATTTGCTTCTCTTGAACACAATAGCAGAAGCATCACTACTGCTACTACTAGTACTCTTCTTCTTCCTCCTTTGGAAGGGCAGTCTTGGTTTTCTGATGGAGGCAAACTGATGAGGGTGGTGGTTGTAGCTACACTCACTGGCCTTGTGGCCATGCATAGAAGAAGTAGGGGCACTGGTGGCAATTCCTGGTCCACCAAGATCAGATCTAAAAGAAGGGGTTGATGAAGAAGAAGAAGATGGGAAAATGGATGAAGGGAAAGAGGAAGAAACCAACTTCCCAAGCTTTTCCTGGAGACAGAGAGCGCAAATCCCTCCTGGGCTGCTGATGTTCTTGTATGGATGGTTGGTGCACTGCATGCTGCTACCATCACCCATGTCTTCCTGAATCCCTTCCATCACCATATTTCTTCTTCCAAAATACCACAGCAGGGGTACTTTCACAGACACCTAATGACAAACACTTGGTGTACACGAAGCAATTACCGATTTTTCTTGATTTATACAGTAATACATGTGGTGTGAGATTGACTTTCAATGGAAGAAAGAGGGGGAAAGATGGTCAAAGGAGGAGTTAAATGAAGGAAACAACATAACATTGAATCATCAATCAAGGGTAGGAGATAGCAGGCAGGGATGGTAGTCCCCAGGAGCACGTGGAAACCTGACTACCGGATATGATTAAGGGAGTTTTGGTCCCGTATAGCGCTAGTTCGCACAATGGGAATTTATTGCATTATTTTAATTAATTAAATATTTAAATCGAGAACCGGGTTTATTATTCAAATACTCCTTTGGCTATTGAGTTTTTGCCATTTTTTGTCCTCCGACTATTATGTCAATGATATTTTTGGTACTTGATTTCTAATTTTTTCATTTTAAGTCATCGACTATTATGCTAGAGACACTTTTAGTCCACCGACTTCAAAGTTTTCCACATTTAGTCCATGAAAGTTGAAGGCTAAATATGAAAATTTTCAAAGACGGGTACCGAAAGTGTCTCTAGCACAATAGTCAAGGACTAAAAATGGAAAAATCAAAGTCGAATACCAAAAGTGTCAATGACATAATAGTCGGAGGACTAAAAACGGAAAAAACTCGTCGGCTATTTAAAGATTCTTTCTAATGTAGCACGGACACTTCAAAGGTTAAACACTAAAATAGGCGTTCCAACTAACTTAAAAATTTTCAATTCACTCCTTATATAGGAGATTCTTTTGCTATCGCCAATTTGGGTAGTTTGCGGTGGAATTTTTTTATGAAAATTTTTGTGCATCTTATTCATTAAGTCTAGTTTACTCATACCAAATTTCAGCTAACAATTCAATCGGGAATGTAGTCAAATGATTTTTGAAAGTTAAGTGCTCAGTTAAACAACAGAGTACATTTCAGAAAATCATTTGAATGTCTTCCCCATTAAATTGTTAGCTGAAATTTGGTATGAGTAAACTAGACCTAATGAAGAAGATGCACAAAAAAAATCATCAAAAAAATTCATTGGGAACCGCCTCAATGGGCGACGGCCGGACAGAACCTCTTATATAAGGGATGAATTGCACTTCTTAAGTTAGTTCGAGGGCCTATTTGACCCTTTAGCCTTAAAATAATATATCGATGTATTAGACATGTTTCGTATCCGATATTCTAGGATACATGTATTGTACATTTTCGGGTTGTATATGCATTTTTTAGAACTTTCTACTTATTTTGATAATTATTTTAAAATTTCGGATAGTCGTATCCTAATGGATATACATATCAACTTTTTTAAAAATACCCAAAATCTTACATAATAAAATTCATAAAAAAGAAACAATAAAAGTAAACTTTATGTAGTACACAATTAATGGGTCTATCTCTAATTCACTTAAAATCAAATTGCTTCCAAAATGAGCAGAGGATTTGGTGTTTGTTCATAACAATCTTCGTCTTTTATCAAGAGCTTCTAAGCAATATGTGGATGACAAAAGTAAAATGCGGAATGTTGCTGGAGATGATTTTGGGAACATGGAGGATATAGGATTATAGGAGTACTTGAGTTTGCTAATCTTTCATAGATGAACCATAATTGGAGGTTATCTATTTTAAAGACAATGTTATCCTTGAAAATTAGTATTTCTAGTGAAAATATGTATTAAAATTTTTTAAACATTGTTTTCTATCTTCATTATAGAAGAAATTTGAGTACTTGTACTTTTACAGAAAGTTTGGTAATTATGTTTCTCCGTTTATCAGGCTTATCAACCAACTTTTTGACCATACACGCTGAATTGTGTAATAATAAGGAAAAATAAGGTTGTAATTACTTTTGTGGCTACATTGACTGAAATTACTGTAGATGACCATTTTAGCTATTTTCATATTTTTTTTCTTATTATATTAATAAATTATATACTCGTATTAAATATTTTTTCCATAAATCAGCAGAATTGGGCAATACAACCACTTCAGACAGAACTTCATAAATTCAAGCAAAATCAGTTTATTCAGCCGATTCCAGTGTTACTAAATGGTCCCTTAATTTCAAATTGTGATTGTTTTACTTGTTTCTCATTTTAAACTAAAGACTTAATGATTATATTTATATTTCGAGTGCACTAGTGTACATGAGATAAATTATTAATTTATTTCTAAATACTTTGATAATGTAAAATGGTTCAACTCCATGCATGGGTAGAGTCTAAGGATAATATATGAATATATTTTCAGAAAATATATAATTTTTAATATTTAAAAATACACCCAATAATTGTTAATTTATAAATGCACCCCATAGTTTTTAATTTTTATAAATATGCCTATGCATTCGTATCCTAATTTTTTTAATTGTTGTATCCCCGCACCCGTTTTGCATTTGTGTGCACTCGTATTAGTGCTACATAGATTTGTTAAGTGCTTAGTAATCAAAAATAATTTTCAAAGGGTACAAGATGCTTTTGCTCGGATTGTTTTCAGTCTTAGATCTGGCAAGACTATGAATAAATCATATCAGACTTAAACATTACAAATGAATCTTGAACAAATTAAACCAGACACGAGTCTGATAGATACTAAATATACAGAAATCGGATATTTACTAGATTAAACTTAAATAGAATATATTAGATCAGATTAGACCAAACGATACCAAAAAAAGCAATTCAATTGAAAATATGCTAAATTAAAAATGGAACAAAGTGATAGAAAGACCATTTGATAACCTTTTTACCTATGACTTACGAGCCATTTCTTTTATTAAATTTGTCAAATAACCTTACAACAGTTACAAGCGTGTTTGGTAATTTATTTTGCGTTTTAATAGTCAATCTTTTTTATTAAATATTACTCCCTTTTGCTAATCTTTCACACTCTAGATAGTGTAATTATTCCTTTTGCTCATCTTTCTAAAATGCATTTTTTCCAACAAGTGGTTTAGAGCTCGTCTGAGTATTGATTTGTTTCTTATGTATTACTCCGTATTTTATCATCTTGTCCGTGTTGATAATCATTTTATATGCAGTTTCAGTCGAAACTATGTACATAAGTTGTTAGAGGGTGATGTGTTGTTATTTAATTGCTATTGAAAGAGCACTTTCCGTCATATAGGGTATTTTTTTCAATTCATCTATGGCATTACTGATACTCACCCTCTCCTGGATTACAATCAGGTAGGATAATTCTATATTTCATAGTGATGTGTTCAAATTGGAATAGCAATCATGAGTGTTTCGTGAGCGCGACATATCTACAGATCCCGTGAAATTATTGTACATATCTACAACTACATGATTAGATATTGATGACTATTTTCTTCGGTATTTAGAATTTCGCTTTTTTATTCAATTTTTATTTTTATTATTCATTTTGAATTTCTTAGAAAAGTTACAGATTTTTCCTATATCAGATTTGAAGTATAGAGACCAACACGATCAAGTTAATTATGTTTTCATTTGCATGTTACATGGTTAGCTACTTTTGTGACTCACATGATTTAAATCTAATCATTAAGCTTCTGACTAGAGCCGGTATTACTTTGAATCGATCGATTATACTTATCTTTGATTTACTAATTTCAATATAGGCCATTTAATTAAAAAAAACTACTGTAATTATCAAAAATAGCAATACCGATTTTATTTTTTTTCAATGAATTTGTTGAACAGAACTTTTTCATATGTTTTCACATTTTTATTCTTGAATAAAATTTATTTTAAATATTCCTCATTTTTTGCGACATGTTCCTTATTGGTAAATATATTTTCGTTGTCAACATCTCTACTCTCGATGAGATTTACCTTATTTTTGTGCAACTCTTTCCTACATATTCACCTTCACTCTAATGCCTTTTCAATTATGCTCTCATGTTTTTACACTATTTAGATACTACTCATTAGTCATTATCACTAGTTTTATCTTAATCAACATAAAAAAAATCAATATTGCAAATAAAAAGTACATAGGGTGTAATTTGTTTATTACTCCATTCAAGGATTGACATGTCCGCCCCTACACATAGTATCGTGTAACATAAATACTTGCAATTATTTCTTGGTAAAGGTTAATTAACAAATTGGCATTTATTTCTTGTAATCACTTTATTTTAGAACTTGGTGCACTTTATTTTATTTCCCTTCTGGTTGCTTTTGCCTTCATTATTGTTTAACCACTAACTAAATACACATGACCCATAAAAGATCCTACGAAATCACAAGACACTCTATTGACCCTTGGATCATGAGGACTCAACAACTTTATATGTAAATATTTACATTAATAATTTTCATTTAAATTATTATTTTCTATGCAGCATTTTTTATTTTTTAAAAATATGTTTTATCCATTATATTTGGTATTTAATATCTATAATATATAAAATATTTTAGGTTTTGCATTTAATTTTGTATTTATATTTTGTATTTTTCAATTTTTATATCTATTTGTTATTCTTGAATGTGCCTGTGTGTGTGTTTTGATACTTGTACTTTATATTATATACATTATTTTCTGTTTAAGGTTTTATATTATAACTTTATATATTGATATTTTATTACTAGTATATATTTAAGATTCTATTTTATATTGCATATGTAATATTTTAAAACTTAGCTAGTATTGCTGAAATTAAAAAAAATGCATAAAGTCTTATATTGGAGACCTAAAATTTCAGCAATTAAGAGTTTATGTATTAAAAAAATACACCATATAAAATATCCATGCAAATAATACATAAACTCTTTACAAAATATTACATTAAAAATAAAATATATGATATTTTAAAAATAAATGAAATCTTAAATACCCCGTATAAAATGTGCATTTAAAAACATATAGATAAGGTGCAAAATTAAATTATATAATAGAACCCAGTACCCACACCTAATTAAGGAATAAATATTGTTCATATATGTTCCTCCAACATGCATGTGTGTTACAATAACCGTGCATGGAACTCAGTCACTCACTCTTTAATTAAAAATATTCTCTCGTTCATCCATCTCAGATTCTTGATCCACTAAATTTGAACAAGAAATATGATGTCACACTATAATAGTCTTCTTTATTCATCCCATGCATGATCCCAAATTGCAAAAGTGCGAATGTAATCATTAATTGAAGCTTTATAACACGGAGTAATAAAATCTATTCATAAAACTTCTTCAAAAAAAAACTTGTACACGTTTTACTCTTTTTCACGTTTTACACTTTGTATGTAAATGTTACTCCCTATTTTTGTGTGTGT